ACGTATTTAGAAGAAAAAAAAGCCGATTAACCATTTGTAAACTTATCCATCTATTTAGCGTGTTAAAATTCTTCAAATGTTTATCGAACGTGATAAAGAAAAAGAATGTAATGAAATCTCATCATTACGATATCATACGAAAAATTATTATGAAATTCATCGAACAAATCTATTTGGTGTAAATATTTTTTCTATTAAAAATTCAAAATTCTATTTTCAAAAAAACAAATATAGGATGCTTTTCGATCATTACAAAGTGCTTCATCGAGTACATGGAAAAATACGATTCGTATTAGTTTTATTAATCAACAAGGACTTGCTGAAGCTGGTATTGATCAAAATGGAATCTTTAAAGAATTTATTCAAGATGTAACACGACAAGCATTTGATCCTGCATTTAATCTTTTTAAAGTATGATGAATTTTCAATAGTTTTTATTCGAATTTTTTTTTCTATTTTAGGTAACAGAAAATCGAACATTATATCCATCTCCAATATCTGATCGAACAGAAAATTATTTATATCTTTTTAATTTTATTGGTAAAATCTTAGGCAAAGCTGTTTATGAACAAATTGTTTTGGATATTGAATTAGCACCATTCTTTCTACGTCATTTAATATCACGAAAAAATCTCAATTATTCATGTTTTGATGATTTAATGTTTCTTGATAGAGATCTTTATACTAATCTAAATTTTATTAAGCATTATGATGGTGATGTATCATCACTTGCTTTAACTTATTCAATTGATGAAGATGTACTTGGTGAGCTGATGACATATGATATTATTCCATGTGGAAGACATATTAATGTCACAAGTGATGATAAGTATGAGGGAAAACAAATTTCGTTTGTTTTTTGTTTCTAATAATAAATTTTTGTTTTAGAATTGTTTATATCCATCGAATGTCAGTTTATCGAACATATACACGAATTAAAAGTCAAATAAAAATGTTTACTGATGGTTTTAAAACATTAATGAAACCCGAATGGATTAATATGTTTTCGGTTCCAGAATTACAACAATTAATATCAGGCGAATCATCTGATATTGATCTTGAAGATTTAAAGACAAATGTTGTTTATCAAGGTGGTTATCATCGTACACATCCAGTTATTAAATGGCTTTGGCAAACACTTGAACAAGATTTTACAAGAGAAGAAAGAGCACTTTTTCTTCGAGTATGAGTTATCGATTTGAATTTAAATTAAACATATCTTGTTTTTGTATTAGTTTGTAACAAGTTCAGGTCGTGCACCATTACTTGGATTTCGTGCATTGAATCCACCATTTACAATTCGTTGTTTAGAAAGTTCAGAACATGAAGTAGAAATTAAACTTTCAAATTAAATATAAATATATATATTCTTTTTTGAAAAATTTTAGGAGGAAGGTGATTCATTAGGAAGAATATTTCGTAATATGATCAGTATTAATCGAACATCATCGGAAAGACTTCCATCAAGTTCAACATGTTTCAATTTATTAAAGTGAGTTTTATAGATTAAATTTCATTTCATTTTCTTTTTCTCTTAATAGATTACCCAGTTATAAAACACGTCGAATACTTGTGGATAAACTGCGATATGCTATCAAAGCTAATGCCGGTTTTGAACTATCTTAAATGTATATAAATTTAATAAAAATAAATTAAATCTGTTAATTAGTTATTTTGTTTTATATTTAATTACATGTCGACGATTTTTCAAATTATGAAAAATATTAAATGATTGAGTAACACTTGGTAAAATAATAGCCATTGAAATCGAACCATACCAAACTCCGACAATAGCAAATATATAAGATAAAAATTGATATTCAGCAATATCAGAATAACCAATAGTTACAATAACTGTAAATCCCTAATAATTAAACATAAATATCTAAATCTAATATTTTATATATTATCTATTTACATGCCATAGTGCTTCACCAATATTTTTAATTTCATTTTCTTGTGACATTTGTTCAAGAACAAATTGCGTTAAACCAAAATAAAATATTCCAAATATAATTAATATTGTTAACATAAGAATACCTTTAAAATTAATATATAAAATTTTTATAAATATTTCTAAACATTTTGCATGACGAGTTAAACGAAATAGACGAAATAATTTTAAACATGTTAAATAATCAAATAATCGAGTTTCTTTTTCTTCGATAATATAAAATCGATAAATAATTTGACTTAATATTGTTGGTAATATTGATAAAATATCTAAAGCAAAATTTGGATCATTTATCAGATGAACAAATGAAGGTGTAGTTAATGTACGAATAAATAATTCGAAATAAAACCTAAATTCAAATATTCAGATCAACATAAGTAAAACATGTTAACTAACCATGTAATACAAATAATTTCTAATGTTGTATTTTCTGACATGAAATATGGTATAAATTGATATGGACGTAAACTAATATCTGAACATTTAAAACCTTCTGTTTGATTAAGAGGTTTTGATGGATGTGTTATCATCCACATGGTATTATAAACATTTCGATAGATACTCATTGTTTCTAAACATACAGAATAAATTGCGAGAGCATTGAATACAGCAGAAAAAGTATTAATTAAAGTAGATGAATGATGTAATGATTTTTTCCACCAAGAATTTGATTCAGTGTTCTTCTCCTCTTCATTTATTGCTAGATAATCATTATAAAATGTTTGAATTAATTTATCATTTAATTGAAAAAATCGTATTTCTTCATAGAATATCATTGCTGGAATAGTTTCAGGTTTAACAAGAACACCATCATTTATATAATAATATAGAATAGATTCAAATGAACTTGCATGACGTGGAAAGAAATAATCACTTTTACCTGGCACAAGATAACGTATACGTTTTAATGGATCACCAAGAATTGTATCAGGAAAATTTATTAGATCAGAAACATTGATTTCATAATGAGTACCGGAAATATTAATTGTTAAACGATCATCATCAGATTCGAAAAATGCTGTCATTGATAGAAGACGTTCGAGAGCATCTTTTGCCCAACTAGTCATTATTTTAAGATTAATAATTACGCGCGTCGTTTTTTTTTATTTAACATAGAAATAATATATTGTTGATATATGTCGCCCTCTATTGGCAATACCTTTATCAATCAAAAAAAAAGAAAAAGTTGTCTGAAAGGATGAATCATTGTCTCATTGTTATAACCGATATTATTTAAATATTGGACTCGTCAGTAAATGTTATTATCAATTAAAAAGATATTTTAATATTTCAGATATTCCATTTATTATTGTGTGTGTGTATAATACTCGATCAAAACAATGATTTTACTTGAAGTACATAATCGTATCATTGAAGAATTACTAACATTACAAATTGAAGCATTTTTACGTAAAGAAAAATTAGTTGAATTAAAAACTGATGTTGTTGGTAAGTAATTTTGAAACATACAAAAATAAAATAAAATAATGTTCAACTTTAGATTTTGATGGTGCACTTTATCATATAACAAGTTCACGAGATAAACCATTTACTGTTAGCATTAAATTAAAATTTTTCCGTGATTTAGAACAACATGGTACTGATGAAGTATGTTCTATAGGTTTTTTTAAATATTTTTTGATTAATTGTATTTATTTAGGTTCTTCGTCGAGAGTATGGTGATTTACTTGTAGCACCTTTAGAAGGTTACAATGTAACATTAGCATTAAATTTTAATACACAATTACCTAAAGGTGATAGTAATGAAGTTTGGTTACCACTTGTTCGTAAAATAGCTATGCTTAAACGAAATTGTTTTGCGGCTGTTTTTGAAAAATATTTTGAATATCAAGCAAATCAAGAAATAACAGCTGTAAATCATAAACGAGCAGTTATACATTATCGTGATGATGAAACAATGTATGTTGATGCATCAGCTGATCGTGTTATTGTTATTTTTTCAACTGTATTTAAAGATCCAGATGATAATATAATAGGTCGTGTTTTTATGGAAGTAAGAATCAATTGTTTTTCAATTAATATTTCTTTTTGTTTTGTTTGCTTTAAGGAATTTAAAGAACGACGACGACAATTTCAACAAGCTCCGCAAGTTATTGTTAGTTATCGTACACCACCGGAAGAATTAAAAGATATGCCTGATGCTCGTACAGGTGATAATATTGGTTATTTAACTTTTGGTAAGAATATATTTTAATTGACATAAATAATAAATATCAATAAAATATTTTATTAGTTCTTTTTCCACGTCATACAAAAGCAGCCGCACGTGATAATACAATTAATCTCATTCATACACTTCGCAATTATTTTCATTATCATATTAAATGTTGTAAAGCATATTTACATGCACATATGCGGCATAAGACAAATGAATTTTTGAAACGTCTTCAATTGGCTCGACCTGAAGTTAAAAAGAATTTTCGACGTGGTGCTGGTAAATAGCAGAAAAAATGATGTAAATTTTAATTCTAAATTGTCTTTTTCTTTTAAGGTGATGCATCAGCGGGAATTGAATGAATTTTGCTAAAACAGTCGTGATTTTTTTTTCTTTCTCTTCTTTTTGTATCTTTACTCATTAATTTATCGCTTGTATGTGGATCTATACCACTGTATCTGTTTTAAAAACATTTTATGCTATTTCACTGAACATCAACAACGATTAGGTTTCGTTTCTTTTTTTTTACATTTTCATTGACTATGATAACAAAAAAAACAAAAGAGAAATGGATTTATTGATAATGAATATACATATTTCTGCTATTTGTATGAGGAAATTCATATATTAAAGTAAGTTATGATGATCAAAATACTGAGAAGATAATTCTTTCTATTGAAAAGTATTTGATGAAAGATAGCGCCCCCTTTCGATGAAAATTAGTATTAGTCATAGAATGACAGATGTATTCTTACTACATGTTAGCGCTACTATCTATCTATATTAATAAATCATCATATTTATATGCAGCAGCACGTGTCCTCTGGGCAAATTTCTTATATTTTGTTGTGATTAGTTTCTATTTTATACATAGATTGGTTGATATACTTTTCTATAGAATGGTATTGGTTAATGATTTATACGTGTCATTCACTATTACTGTATTATTTTATCTAACTTTAACACAGGCTGTTGAAGACTTTTCAATTACGACAACGAATCATTCACTTTCCAATATTAACATGACAATGAATTTAAATAGTACAACAATACCAACATCAATAAAACATAGGATTGATCAAAGTAAAAATGTAATACATGATGCTTTTGCACGACTGGATCGAGGTACATTGATGCGTGGTACTATTGTAGTTGTTGCTATTACTTGTATTATTTTAATGTATGTCGGTTTAAAGTCATTTCTGTAAGTAAAAGACCATTTTTCGTTGTATACATAGAGAATATTTAATTATCTTAGTTTACGCAAAAAACGTCAACCAAAAAGATACACATTAATTACTGATCCAAGTTCCATGGAAGAGCCTCTCTTCGATGCTAATGATGATGATGAAGAAGAAATCGAAGATGATACATTGTTTGTACGCAAATAAACGAACTGAACAGAACAATTGTTTTGTCTTTGACTTATTTTTTTCTTTATCTTACAGTCATTCCGTTAATATTTCTCAATTAACAGTGAATATTATTATTATTATTATTACTATTGTTATTCAAATTTTTTTTTGCTTTTTTTATTGTTAATGAACATTTCTATTTCTTTATTTCAATAGACAACAGATCCGGTTATCGGTGTATCATTTCTAATAATTTTACTTTTCAGATGTTTCAGTAGTTGCTTAATTTTTGTTTTAATACAAGCAAATACTTTATATGCAAATCACTATGAAACTATGAAGAATTGTTAAGAAAAAAAATGACATAATTTTGATTATAATATATGAATAAGATAAGAAATTCAATGATTGTTTGCATGAAACGAACACGTCATGGTTTTCATTGGTTTGTCACAGATGGTCCTATGTTCTATGATAACGAACGGCTAATTAGTTAAGTTGTATATAAATAGTAGATTTACAGCAAATAAAATAATATAATTGTGTGGTAGCATATTGATCAGTAAGTAATGTAACTCACCTAGTCTTTCTTCAAAATCGTAATACATACGTATACCTTTTGTTGTGATCATGACAATATTTTTTTTTCTTTCTTTGTTTGTACTGCTTGTACCCAGCATTTTTGTTCTCCACGGTTGACTACTTACTTATAATCTTAATTATAGTCCATTGATTATTTCATATGTGAGCGTATCATCAAACTAAACGTAGAATAAAATTTTTAGAGTCTAATATGATACACTTTATAATTCCTTTTTCAGATTTATTGTTTCATTTGAATGATGGCTTCAGAATTTAATGATAATCTTGACGATGTTGTTATAGTATCTGCTGTTCGTACACCTATCGGCTCATTTAATGGATGTTTATCAAGTTTAAAAGGTCATCAACTCGGAGCTGTAGCAATTAAAGGTGCACTGGCTAAAGTCAGTGCTAGTATTCGACCAGATGAAATAAGCGAAGTATTTATGGGTCAAGTATTAACTGCAAATGAAGGTCAAAATCCAGCACGACAAGCTGCACGTGGTGGTGGTCTCCCATATGCTGTACCTGCAACAACAGTTAATATGGTTTGTGGCTCAGGCATGAAAGCAGTAGTTTTAGGTGCTCAAGCAATTCGAACAGGTGATGCAAGCATTGTAGTAGTTGGAGGACAAGAAAGTATGAGTCAAGCACCACATTGTATGCCACTTAGAAATGGTAAGAAGATGGGTGATGCTACACTTATCGATTCGATGGTACATGATGGGTAAAAATAACAATAAACTATTGAATGAAACTTCTATTATGAATCTATTTGTAGTCTTACAGATGCATTCAATCATGTTCATATGGGTATTACAGGTAAATTGAAATAATAATAGATACACTCATATATTATTATTAATAATATAGCGGAGACTGTTGCTCATGCAAGTGCTGTTACACGAGAAGAACAAGATGAATTTGCCTATAGCTCTCAACAAAAATGTGAACAAGCTATGTCTCTTCGACATTTTGATGCAGAAATTGAACCTATCGTTCTTTCAACATCAAAAAGTATGTTGATCATTGTATTTATAAAAAAAAATAGAATTTAATATATATTTCATTTTTTATTTTTAATTATAAGCTAATACTCAAATTAGTGATGATGAATATCCTCGCAAACAAACAACATTAGAAGGTCTTGCGAAATTGAAAACAGTATTCAAAGAAGGTATATATTTTTCATTTGAAAGATAATTTAAATATTTTAATTGTACTTTTCTTTCCTCAGCTGGAACAGTTACTGCTGGCAATGCATCAGGTATAAATGATGGTGCTGCTGCTTTAGTTCTTTGTTCGAATCGTATTGCTAAATCAAAACAATTAGTCCCTCTAGCCAGAATTGTCTCATGGGGACAATCTGGTATTGATCCACTTATGATGGTATATTTTTCATTTTCACTAGTAATGAATGTATAACGAAATTGTCATTCTCATTTAGGGTTTGTCACCAATTTCTGCAATTAAAGAAGCTCTACGCAAAGCTAAATGGGATATTGAAACCGTAGATTTATTTGAATTAAACGAAGCATTTGCTGCTCAATCAGTAGCAGTTAGTAAAGAACTTCGTATTGACGCAAACAAAGTAATTCGCTTTTTTTTAAACATATTTTAAAGTATATTTTTTTGTTTTTCATTTTATTTTAGCTTAATGTGAATGGTGGTGCGATTGCTCTTGGTCATCCTCTTGGTGGTTCAGGTGCTCGAGTACTTGTTACACTCATTCATACACTTAAACGAACAGGTTTAAAACGAGGATGTGCTGCACTTTGTATTGGTGGTGGTTTGGGTATTGCTATGTGTATTGAAACATACTAAAGTTTCATTCCAATTCAAACAAAACTTCCTCATTTACATATAGTTTGAAAGTTTTTCTAGTCAATGGTATTTCTTGAATGTACCATCTGTTGCCATTGATTTAAGTATTTTTTTATAACATTTTTCTTTTTTTTCCGCTGTCTGACAATATGGACATCTAGTGAGCTTTTATTTATAACTTAACATAAGAAAAAATAAACAAGTATTTATGTTGTCAGTTTAAATTACAAAGAAATCAATGTAAATAAATCTTATAATGTTAGTGTCTAGTCATTCTAGTAGTGAAATCCCTTTATTTGTATATAATATTTATTTAATCAAAATTTATACCTTGAATAAATATAACTAACCTTTTTTATGTCACTTACATAAAAATCTCAATTCATTCTCTAGAGTCAATTTATTCTTTCTGTAATTTAATATTAAGACTTTTAGCGATTATTTCAAGAATGTACTAATATATAGTTTACGACACTATAGTGGAAACATTTTTTTTTCTTTTAATCTTCAGAATATATTTGTCAACTGTAGTGTCTTACTATATTTTATATATATTTACTGCGTCTTGGAAATATCCGATATAGAATGTATTGATGACATTCATATATATACGCAAAGCAATTAAAAGAAATTATTTGGAATATGTTCTATTAAAAAATAATGACGACAAATAGCTGTGGAAACTCTGTAAAATGAATAAACTCTTTAGTAATTACCATATCAATTGTTTAAAACCGTTTGCTATAGGTGCAATATGTGTATCAGAAAAGTTAGGGTCGATTGTCAATATCATCAAAAATTATCAAGAATAATTTACAACTGTATTAACATTTGAGCATAAATTTATTTTATTATAAAGAGTAAAACTAACAACTATTATTATCATGACATGAAATTTCGAATGTGAATAAAATAAAAAGAATATAGTTAAAAAGAACGTTTAATGATACATACAGTGAACACTTGTTAATTATGTTTATGTTGCGAACATAATTCATTATACACTTGTAATTCAGAAGTATTTCTAACATTATGTTGTGGTTTCTCAGTAACTTCATTTATTGATCTATCTAACTCTCCATCTTTAACATAATTATATCCTCCCCATTTAAGAATGTTTTCTAGTTTAAGTAAAGAAAATACTTCTTGTTCAGCATCGAATATATTATTTATTTTTCCAGAAAGAACATAAATCATGCCATCTTTTTCCCATGTTAATGCACTGCGAAATTCTTTTTCAGTTTTCACTTTTGTTGCAATTGTACTTATCCATCCTAAGTATTTGAATCTATTTTTAAATGTTGGCCAATATTTATTCATATCTTTTTCAAACAATGGTTTGATTGTTTTCTCTACAAATGAATCATTTAATTTATTTTTACAATCAACTGCTTCATCATATGTTTCAAATGAACCCATAATTGTATATTTTCCATGTGTCATTATATATTTTCGTTTAGTAATTTCTTCTCCTTCTATATGATCATCATGTGGCATTATACATGGAAACCATCCGTCCATGATAATAAATGAAAAAGCATCATCTTTATAAGATTTTTCATTATCTTCATAGTATAAAGCTAAACTTGGTTGATATACTACTTCAATATTAAATGGTAAGATTGAATCTATGGTTAAATCTTGATAATATGTACAGTTAATTACATGATCAAAGATGTGTTCAGTATTAATTTGAAGTTTATTATTATTTATTTTCTCAATTTTTTGTACTTTGTAATTACATATTAGATTAACATCAGCTTGTTTTAGATATTTTTTAAACTTTTCACGTAAACGTTTTCCAACTGCAATACTCGGTTCATAAACAGTAAAAGCAGAAATTAAATGCTGATAATTCCATTCTTTGATATCTATTTCTTGGTATTGATCACATTCTTTACAAACTAATTTAAATTGTGATTCAGTGACCTTTGATGGACATTCATCAACATCTTCAATTCCTAAACCATATACTGAGTATTCATGTTTGATTAATAGATCTGAATATGTATCATGAAAATTATAGAAATGATTTTGGCAACTTTCACGTGTTTTTTTCGATCTAGGATAATGTGGACCAGCATGTAATCGGATGCCAAATTTACCGGAACAACCATGAAATATGTCAGATTGTGCTTCGTATAATGTTACATAATATTGTCCTTTCTGTTTTAGACTTAATGCAATATGACAACCGTACCATCCACCACCAATAACAGCAATTGTTTTCATTTCTGTTGAATCGATACTGTTTTAGAAGCTTAATGTATTTTAATATATATTCTTTCCACTAAGTTAGTATTCGTAGCAGAGGTGCAGAATCTTCCTCATGCGCCCCCGGCCGGGGGGGGGGGGGGAATTTTTTAAAAACTGCATTTTTTGGGGAAATTTTTGAAAATTCTGGGGAATTCTTGAAAATTTACCTTGGGAAAAATTTTTCAGAAATTTCCCCGGGGGGGGGAAATTTTTTTTTTTGGGAAGATTCTGCACCTATGGTAGCAAAGGAAGACTAAGAAAATGGTATGAAAAAAAAGAGAAGGTACTAGTAAAGAATCATTTGGAAAATTTCACATCGATAATCATTTATCTATTAAAGAGGTAAACATTGATATCTTTCTTTCATGAAAACGAGTTACTCCATTCGAAAAAAAAATGACCGAGAGAGTCGATTTTATTCTGATAAAATTGTTCTTAACCATCTTAAATATTTTCTCATCGTTACATGTGCATCTTCACTTTAAATCCTTTTCCGTCGGTTAATATTGAAATGAAGTATTCGACATGTATTCTAAAATTCTTTTATTGTATAACAATATTTTCTAAGCTATCAGCTGTAGACCATTTTGCAAGAACCTTACTTTCTTCTTTCTGGTATTTTGTCTGAAATCCTTATTTACAAAACTGATGCATTGCTGTTTCTTAAGAACTCATTGTTAGAAAAGGAAACTACATTTTTACATCTGCTCATATTGTGATACTGCGTTTTTATCAAGCTGAGTAGTTTATTTTTAAATAAGATACTACTGTTGACGTTGATTTGATATTAGATTGTTATTAAATAGATGTGTTCTGTTTGAAACTTTTTTCAGTAAGAGATTGTGACGGATATAAGTTTTTGGGCATATCGCTAATGAATGAGTTTTCTTATTTATTAAAATGATAATTATCCTTTCGTTTCACGTTTATTTTATATGTTTGATTTTTTCCACAGAGACAAACATTGAAACAACGAAAAGAAAATGAACAACAGTTAGATCTCGATCGAAGATAATAATAATAATAATAATAGTAATAGTAATTGATGATATATGATCGATCGAAGACGTAGAAGAAGAAGAAGAAGGAGGAGAAGAAGAAAAAAAAACAGAAATTAAAAAAGAAAGAAAGAAAGTAAATAAATGAGAAACTATACACTTAGACCAACCAAATTTTATGCATGTCCGATTGACCAAATGCTGTATTACATTTTGGACATTTCCGTTGACGTGAATCATATCTTGATTTAAGACAATCATAACAAAAAACATGAAAACATTTGGAAAGTATTGCATCACGTTGTTTATTTTTACATGCTGGACAACGAAGAATTTCTTTATATTCACGAATTTCTTCTAATAAGACTTCATCTTTATTTGATGCCATTTCTAATTTACGCATTCGTTCTAGTTTTCGATTGAGATTTTTTGCTTCCTCTTGTAATCTATTAAAAAAAGAAAAATTTTAAACATAAGATTTATTAATATTATTATTTACCGTCGATTTTTAAAATTTTGTCTTTCAAGTGCTTCGGACTTTTCAGCAACTAATTCTTGTACTTCTTTTAATTGTGCATGATAACGATCAAGATGAAGTTTAAGATCAGCTGATGTTTGTGCACTTTCAATTGTTTTTCGTTTATGTGCATCTAATGTTTGATGCATCATATTTAATTCTTTTTCAAGTATCAATACACTATTACGAAGTAATGCAATTGTTTCTTCATATTTTTGATTCATAATTACCTTTATTTTAGAAAAAAAGGAAATGATAATATTTTAGAAAATTTTTTTTATTTAATTTACTTGTGCATCAAGTTGTTCTTGTAAAGCATTTGTTTGTTGAACTAGAACTGTTTTTTCATCCGACATAACTTTTTGTGATTGTTGTAATTTAACACGTTCAACCATAAGTTTAATATGAGCATCATCTTTTTCACGTAATTGAGATAATAAACGACTATTTTGTTCTTGCATATCTTCGAATGCTTGACCCGTTACTTCAATTTCATTGAGTAATGCTGCTTCTTCTTGTTTACGTGTTTCTAAATTTTTTTCAAGATCACGAATGGTTTCTTGATATGAACGCGTTTTATTTTGAACCTCAAAAATAATAACAATCATAAATAAGAAACGTATTGAAGAAGTAACTTACTTCATCTTCGTTACATTTTTTCTTTAATGTTTTAGCATGAGTTTGAACTTTTTTAAGTTCATTTCGAGTTTCTTCAAGTTCTTGCCGTAATTTCTTTTCAGATGTCATTAAACATGCTTTATCACGTGTTTCTTTTGGTACACCTCTACAATGATTTGAAAAAAAAGTTTTTTTTTATTTAAAATTCTAATTCTGTTTACCTATACATAGTTAATAAGATTTTATATTCTTTAACCATATCGGATAGTTTTTTATTTTCATTCTTAAGATTGCGTAATTCAGCATCTTTATCTTCTGTTGTTACTGAATTCGATGAAAGACGTGAAAGAGTAGTTGCTGTTGAACTATCATCCAAATCACCTTCGGGTATATCACCAAAATCTAATAGCGGATTTTCAACCAAACGAGTATCATCATTCTAAAGAGAGAAAAAAATATAAGCCTAAAGGAAGAAAAATAATAAAACAGACCCCTTCCATTGATTCTTCTTTTGGTATGATTTCATTTTTCACAACAGTTGATGTTGGCATTGCAAAAGGATTTGTTATTTCATCTTTATTCAATGGTGATTGTGGTTGATTTGTCGTAATTAATGAACTAGCAGATGTAGGTTCTGATGTTGTCACACTCATTTGTGTATTAAGTCCATTACTTATAATTGTTTCTTGTTTTACTTTAAGTTTCGCTAATTCATCTTCTAGTTCTTTACATTGTTTTTTACAACGACTAGCTTCTAAATTATATAATTTACATTGTGCTTGTAAATGATTGATTAAACTTCGCATTTCACGTGTAATCGGTACTGAATAATGAAAAACAAATCAAAAGATTGTAAAACTAAATAAAATAATTAATAATAAAAAAAGAAACCTGATTGTTGATTAGCAATAAGAACTTTTTCATATTCAACTTGAAGAAGATCATAATCACGACGAGCGTCAGCTAAATCTGCTACAACTTGTTCAATATTTGCATGTAATTTTCGTTGATTTTCAAATTCTTCTTGCTAAAAGAACAAGAAAATAATCTATTTTATTTCGAATAAAAAAAAAGAAAATTTTACTTCAATTTTTTCAAAATGATGATCATATATTGTTTTTGTACATTTAACAAGTTCTCGTGCTTCAGCTAATTGATGTCGAAGATGAACACTCTCATTAACTAAAGCTGTATAACGTGATTGTAAACATTTAAATTCCGGTGTTTCATTAATAAGTTCTTCTGGTAATGAACGAAGCTATAAATTTCGAATAGTTTATATTAATTTGAAAGAAAAATTCATCTAATTTACTTTATTTTTAAGTATTTCAACTTCACGTTTACTTATTTCATGATCACTCATCAATTTTTCTAATTCAGTAAGACGACTTGCTGCTAATTCTTTATATTCTTCGATTTCAGCTTGTAAATCAGCATACTATTAAAAAGATAATTATGTTTTATATAGATAAAAACAAATTTACTTTATTTTCAGTAATAACGACTGTACTATTATTTGAATTAGTTGCATTAGAATCTTGATCTTGTTTAATATCATTTACTTGAGATTTTAATAGATCACGTTCTAATTTAGCAATAGCATCTGCTAATGAACGTTCTAATTTTGTTTCTTTATTACGAGATTTTTCTAATTCATATTCAAGATCAGATAAATGACTTTTACTCTCAAGTAATTGTTCTTCTTGAAGTACTAATTGATTATTTAAATCTGTACACTAGATTAAAATTAGAGAAAAAAATAAATGAATTTATCAAAAAAAATAAAATTCTTACTCGAAGTGTTATTTCATGAATACGACCTTGTAAAGTTGTATTTAATCGTTGAATACGTTCATTTTCATGTTCAAGATCAGAATTTCGTTCCAAAACAGATTTATAGATTTCATTTTTACATTCTTAATCGAATAATAAATATTTCATTCTATGTCAATATTACAAAAAAGATATTTTACCAGGAGTTGAATTTGATTCACCGGTAGAATTAATTGAAGTAAATAATCGTTGATATTTATCAGATAAACTAATAGAATGAATAATAAAAGCTGATAAACAAGAAGAAAAAAACACATACTTATCAAAAACTCGTACAAGTTTAACAATCGCTTTTGTCGAAAAATCTAAACGTTGTTTAAGATGTGCATCAAGATCTTCACGTAACCATGTATTTAATTGACGAATATATGAACGTATTTCTTCTCCTTGTCGTTCATTATTTACATTTGTCTTTGAATTTGTTTCATCATCTGTTGATGTTGTTGCATCAACTCGTTCAAGTAAACGACGAATATTTTCATCTAACTAGAATTATTAAAAGTGAGAAAATTTTGTTTTTCATTTTTTTTTATATATGATAAAAATTTTACTTGTGTCCAATAAAGATCAATCATACTCCATTTACAATCAACACTAGCTTTATTTGTTTCTAATTGATCGATTTTAGATTTCCATTCAATTTCTTGTTTACGACAATTCGCAAGGCATTCAGATAATTTTTTATTTTGAATAAGCAAAAGTTTTGCATCGAGTTCTTCCTAAAAATAAAAGATCTTTCTAAATCATATTTCTACAAAAACAAAATAGATCTTACAGCAGATTGGACATCGAATAATTTAAATGCTTCAAAAACTACAACACGTTTACCATTATTTTGACTATCTGCTTCACTTGTTTCATCAAGACCAGCATCAGATGAAGTACGTTTTTTATTTGATGTTGTAGAAGAACTTAATTTAGCTGCACTTGTGCTACTGGATGCAGCACCTGAATCACTCATATTTACAAGAATATGTTGATCTAGAAAGAAAATATTAGAAAGAAATTCTTAAAACAAAAAGATTATTTACTTTATATGATAGAGAGATAAAAATCAAATTAGATTTAACTACGGATATGAAACATATATAGACTAACCAACGACTTTATAATTGTTGCTTGTTCACTTTTTACTGAAGAAATATTGAAGGTATGAATCAATAATGATAGATAGACAAAAAAATAAACATATTGATCCAACTGACATCTATCGTTATATGATTGGTGACGATAGAATATCCAATTGGAAATTATTTTTCAAAACTATTAATTAATACGGTCATTTCATTTATTTTTCATTATAAAATTCATACGTTGTGAAATAAAAAAAAACTGTAAAATAAAAGAAATGTTTTCATATTCAAATTATTTGGTAGTATAAATTGTAGCAATGAGACATCCGAAATATACATGACTTTTGAAAATAATATGAAAAGTTTTTTTTAACATAATAGAGTTCGTCTCTGATATTTTTAATCAAATTACGTTGACATTTATGCATTCTAAATAATATGAGAATCTATTGTTAGGAAACGATGATATATAGAAATATAACAAATCCTGTCATGTTCATAAAATTACGATAAAGAGTATTGTATCATGCAGCAAAAATGTCATTCTAATTGTTGGATTAGATCATGAAAAAGTTGAATATTGTTCACATAAAGAAACTGATGTCGATAGTGATCTAGATAATGAAAATAAGGAAGAATTAACTAATCTAGCTGAGAAATCAACGATAAATATATTAAGATGTCCATCTATTATTTCAGCAAAATCAGTTACATCTGAAGTTATTAATGAATTAGGAAACGATGTTGAAACAACTGCGAATACAAACAAAAAATCTCGTTTTTGTATGCCAATTTTAAGAGTAGTTATGCTGGTTTGTAAATATTCTAGGATTTTCTTGATTGGTATTGCTGATGCAATCAGTCAGTTTGTATCATCAGTTACTCTAGTTAAAGTAGGAGAAAAATTAACAATGCGTATGAGACTATTATCTTTTAAAAGTATACTTCGACAAGAAATTGGATGGTTTGATTTAGATGAAAATAATTTAGGAGCATTAGTTAGACGACTATAGTCAGATGCAGTTTCACTTAAAGAATTTACGGAACCTGCACTTACTTCATTTTTCAATGCAATTGGAGCATTAATTGCAGCTCTACTAATCCGTTTTACTGCATTGTTGATTTTTACCGGTTCTATTCAAGGCCATCCACTTTCTAAGGCATCTGGGAAAAAGAACGAAACAATATCGAATGCTGACTATGGAGGAAAAGTATGTTTGATTTATTCTGAAATACATTTATGAATTATTTATTTAATATTTAGCATGCAATACAAGCTATTAAAAATATTCGTACAGCTGTATCACTTTATCAAGAAGAACATTTTATTCAATTTGAGGATGTGAGTGTAGGTGAGGAGGCGAGTGCGGACGCAGATGTTAACGAGCAGTGAATAGAAAATCCACACCCACACCCACTTTCTTTATTGAGGGTGTGGGTGTGGGTGAGGGTGAGATTGAGGGTGTGAGTACAACTATCTCACCTACACTCACACTCTCACCGTCACCTACCCACCCTCACCCTCACCCTCAACTATGTTCCTTATTTCTCAACATTTGTTTAATTAGTTGGAAGTTCTTCGGAAGCTTTCATAAATCTTGCATTTGTTTTGAGAATTTTGGATCGATATGAAGAGTATATATAATTCCAAAC